GGGGGGGTAGTGGTAGGAAAATACCTCTTTAGAAGATTAAACTTCCTGATGCACAATAATTTGTATTGTCAATTTGAGTTTTTCATGTTTTTTGTCTGTTTTCAGAGTAAACTGATGTCCCCAATGCGCAAAGGCGGCATGAAGCGACCTAGTGGTTCCTCCCTTGACTCTGGAGCTTCATCGTCTGCTAAAAAGTAGGCTCAAGTTTTTTTCCCCTTCTTTTTAAAACCTCTTTGCTCTTTAGGAAGTCTATCTCCAAACAGTAGTTTCATGTTGTTACCATGGATGTGTTCATCCATTTGTACGTCACTTGTTAGTGATTGGCGAGTGCTCTGGTATGGTTCTTTCCTAATCAAACATCTATCGTCCTTCTCCATCCTTCTTTGTGTTTGTTACAGTCTTGTAAAACCTCTAGTTTGTACTGTCTTGTTAAATCTCTAATCTTCTTCAGCACTTATATGACCAAATTGTGTTGCAAGTGCTGTAAAACGCTTGCTAAAACCAGTATCCCACTCCTTGCCACAACTGGCTTCCATTTTTCCTGGCCTCTGCTTTGATGTATTATTTCTTGAAGTTGTGGACCAATGTCTACTTTTACGTTTTCTACATACCAGTGGGTGGTTGGCGGGTGCTCTGGTGTGGTTTGCTCCTTCTTTCCTATAAAAAAATCTATCGACCCTATCTGCCCTCCTTCTTTTTAATGTATGTTACTTTCTTGTAACACCTCTAATCTTCGGCACTTATATGACCTTATTGTGTTGCAAGTGCCGTAAAACTCTTACAAGAACAAATACAAGTTTTCTACATGTACTATGTAGAAGGTCTTCCCTTATATATATATCATTTTTCTTTCCCTCTATTTTACCCTATAGTCTGTTGTCGTCAGGTCCACTTTGATGCTCTTATGTGTTTTTGCTCCCTCTTTCCTACCACACATGTATCATCCTTATAAATCTCTCCTTCTTCTTTTTGTATTTTTATTACTTTCTTGTAACACCTAATCTTCAACACTCATTAACCATTGCAATTTCCCCCCTCCTCTCTGTCTCTCTCACATATTGATGGGGGTTTTTTTTGGTTGTTTTTTTTTCCACTCCAGGTTTTTCATGTCTAAGAGTGGGAAGTCATCAGACCTTGATATCTCCATGAGAGGTGGTGATGACTCTATGCGTGACTCCTATCACTTCACACACACTTTGGGCACAGGAGACATGGGAGTGGCTGCCAAACTGGAGGATATTGATGAAGTTATGTCTGAGGAAAAGGTGAGCAGAGGCAGGAATTTATAGAAGGGGGAGGGGGGAGGGATGATGGCTGGAAGTTTGGGTTAAAAGTACAAGTGCAGAAAATGTGTGTATATATAATCTATCTAGATGTTACATATACATGGACTACAGACATTACTCAGTACCAGTACCAGAGTACAGGCAGTAAAAACTTTTCATGGGGGGGCGGTCTTGAAGTGTGGTGTTTGCATCTCTTTCCGTAGTTCCAGAGTTTGAAACCTGACAGCGATGGAAAATTTTTCACTTTTTACCCCCTTTCCGTTCTCTCGACATGTTTTGTCATCTGCTTTCATCTCATGTTTTTGGTCATGGAGAGGTTGGCAGATCTGATTGTTTACAGATGAATAAGACTGGTGGAGATATAAGACTGACTCCAGGGGGAGACCTGGGTTTAGACCATATAGATGTAGATGTCCATGGTCCCAGTGTAATCTTTTTCTGAATACCCCTACTTGAGTCTCAGGGGGTAATTGACTGTTAGGTCTTCATGTTCATCTCACAGTGCAGCTGATTTTTACATACATTGTTGTTTTATCATCTACATTCAATGTGGCGTCGGTGGCCTAGTGGTTAGGCTATCGGTCTCATAACCGTGAGGTAAGCTGAGAATTATTCTGAGTGGTCTATGATTTGCTGGGGTAATAATATAGTGTAAAGCGCTTAAAGCTTGCTTTCGAGTGGGGACATGCGCTATACAAATGCTATTTATTGTTATTATGTAGAATCATCCATGTCCTGACAGGCAGCTTAATCAACTTGGTGCCATTCTGAAAATACTCTTGAATATTTTTACTGACTCAAGAGTGGCTGTAGTTTTGGGTGGGAATTAATTTTGAATGGCAGCGTAAAAGGCTTACACTGTGTTCAATTTCAGAACCTCCAAAGGATCTTTAACCTGCGCGTCAAATCCAAACTTCTGAAATTTTTTGTCCTTTCCCAAAAAGAGTAAGTTCTTGATCCTACCTGTCCTAGGGGTGTAGAAAATATAAGAAAAGAATTGGACGCTGATGTGGATCAAATGCTTGACCTTCTGGTTGACAGTCAGGCACCATATTATCGCTCTCGCAAGCAATCCACTGAAAGTCCAAGTTTTGATACTTTTTTCGATTTTTACAACTTCCCAGAGCTCAATGAAAGATGCACCTTCAACACCTCCCAACTGCAGTCAAGGCTTACAATTTTCCTGCTTTTCATGATTTCTGTTAAGAACAATACGACTTAATCTAGTTTGTTGTCTCTTGGGTAAAAAGTAATAATAAATAAATAGCATTTGTATAGCACATGTCCCCACTCGAAAGCAAGCTCTGTGCCTTTTACACTATATTATTACCCCAGCAGACCATAGAACACGGAGAAACATTCTCAGCTTCCCAAGGAGATTTCCGTGCACGCAGCTGGTTAAGCGCTCAAACACTAACGAACTGCAAGACCTTTCACTGTCTATAGCTGGGTACCCATTTTCACTGGGGTGAAGTGGGGAAAATTCGTGTTTTAAGTGCCTTTCCCAAGGACACAACATCAAGCCCGCGGCTCGAACCCGCAACCTCACGATTACGAGTACGGTAGCCTAACCACTAGGCCACAGACGGCGCAACGTATGGACTTATATGGATTGTTTGCAATATCGACAATATCTTTTGATCTTATGAGCGCACATCCCAGGTGTACTGTGGGGGATCAAAACAATATATTTGCTACCTGATGGCTAAATGATTATTGACAGAGTGGGAGGAACAGGCGCTTAAGTGGGGTCCCGCATCGGAACTGCACAGGCTGCTTTTATATCTTTGAATAGGATTTGGAGCAAAGCTAAGGATCTTCAACTCAAATGTGAAGTCAGTCCTATTGTATGGATGTGAGACATGAAAATCAACTCCATGATTTGCATAGGGAGGATCTAGGTTTTTTTTAGCAGGTGTCTCGGGAAGCTGCTGAGGATCAGATGGATAGACAGGGTCACCAACAAGGAAGTATTGAGAAGAGCGAGACTGCCCGGTCAGGGATGGGGTGGGAGGGTGGTGGTGGGTTGGACATGCTCTCGGAAAGTCAGGAGGCTGCATGGCAAGGAGGGTTTTGGATTGGGGCCCGTGGGGTGAAAGATCAAAGGGAGGACCATGTGGAAGCTGGAGAGGAGTCACAGAAATAGATGTACAAAGAGGTGGGAAGACATGGAAAGGCGGCTAGCCCAGGATAGGGAAAGGTGGAAAGTGTTTGATCCGGGGTGGGAAAGACAATGATGATGATGGAGGAATGACTCATAGAATTCCAGGATAAAGCCCGAAAGTGCAAAGAGTTGGTGTTATGGTACAGTAAAGGGTCTTGTGACACTGTAAACTGTGTGATTCATGGATACCTTTTTTCCCTTTTTAATCCCATTATTTCCATTATTCTCATAAACCCCACCCCACCCCCATTTATTGTCCTAAATATTGGTCTTCTGTTTCACTCCATATTAGTTCTGTCTTTCATACTGTCAACCATCTTTTTGTTGGCAACAAATATTTGCACAAAATCCCCATGATTGTACACATTGTCCAATTTCATGCAACCTCCTCCAGTCTTTTCCTTTCCCCCCCCCCCCATAAAAGCATTGTTTTTCAGTTCCACACTTTTGAAAGATAAGTATATATATATGTATGTGTGTGTGGTTGGGAGGTGCCACTTAGTCAGTGGGTCTTACTAATTTTATTATCCTTCTTCTGTTTTTGTTTGTCTTGCTTTCCTTTTCTCAACTCTAGATGACCATTATTGTGTTGATGTGCTTTTCTTTCCTTGGGTGCCTTTGCCTTGTTTCATCAAAAAAAATAGGAACCAAGAGATTTATATATACATATATATATGTGAACAGTGGATGAGATCCTGGTGGGTGGTTGGCGGGTGTTCTGGTGTGGTTTTGCTTCTTCTTTCCTATTAAACATCTATCGTCCTTATCTCCCCTTCTTTTTTATGTTTGTTACTCTTTTGTAACTCCTCTAATCTTCTGGCGCTCATATGACCTTGTGCAGTTGCGAATGCTGAAAAACCTCTACTAAAACTAAGGAGGTCTTGGTTGGTTTTTTTCTTTTTTAGACCTCCCTGTTTACCATGGGCTCTATCATTATTTGTTTTTTTTGTTTCATCACAGGTGGCCAGCAAAACAGTTATCCCTACTCCCCTACGCATTGGCTTCCTGGGTCTGGGCATCATGGGTCAAGGAATGGTGATGAATTTGCTGAGGTCGGGCCATGAGGTCACTGTGTGGAACAGGACAGCCACCAAGGTAAAAACTTGATGACACTTTTACTCCTTTCGCTGTCATTCGTCGAGCTTCTAGATGTGACAAAAATAGAGCTTGTGTCATCTCAGAACTTGACTAGTGGGTGGTTGGGGAGCCCTCTGATATGTGCTTCTTTCCTATCTTATATCTATCGTCTTTATCTCCCCTCCTTTTTTCTTTGTTACTCTTTAGTAGTTATACTTGTTACACCTCTAATCTTCTGCAGCTATGTGACCTTTTTGTCTAGTAAGTTCTGTAAAACTCTTACTAGAACTAAAAGCGAACTTGACTAGTGGGCATGATACTTTCAAGAATCATAGTCATAGTCAGTGAACCCTGACACACTTGTAGGGAGAAGAAAACACCTTTAGAAATACAAGTAGTTACAACTGGGAGGCTTGTTTTCAACCCAGAGGCTACAAAGAATTGGCAAGACATGAACAATCCTTTTTGCCAATAGGTGATACTAGTTGGTAGGATACCACTGAGAAGCAAATTCTCTTTTTATGTATAGTTTGGCTTGTCAAAAAGTTGAATCACCATCACACATTATTTTAAAGAAGAGGAGGCCCTTTTTGAAAAAGCTGTAAAGATGCAATGAGAATTTTTCATACTCGACTGTGTTACTGGTGTCCTTGGAGTAGTGGTAAGGCACGATAGGGAGTTGTTGTCTGTGTTTTTAATGTATGTATGCAGTGTATTGCATTGAACAAAATAATCATCCGGCCTGTGCTCTGCATTCTTTGTTCCCCGACCCGCCTTGAAAATAAAAGTTTGATGGTGCCCTTTGAACAATTTGAAAATATATTGTGTGTACTTCAGAAGGATGATCACAGTGAACCCCTTTTCCATTGTTGTACCCGTAATGCATTCTATAGTAGACAGTTTGGAGGTGGAACATGAATTTATTTAATTGCACATGAAAACACTGATACACTATACTCAAAAGGCAGTGAGATCCGACTATGTCACAATCTTGCTAATAACAGAATCATACCAACAACATTATTTTTTTTGAACACATTGCTTTGGTTCACTTCAACAAACAACATTCTGAATGGTGTGTGTAATAAGTCGAAATCCTTGTGTATAGTATAGTGACAACGTCTCTGTTTACATTTCAATGGAATATGTCCGTTTAAAAAACAAAAACAAACAACACTTTTCTGCAACTCCTCTGTCAGTCTCACAACACTGTTAAACTATTGTCTCCGGATCGTTAGTGGGGTCACTAAGTAAATGCACATCTCCCAATGTACTCCCACTCTTTGTGTGTGAATGTTGGCCGGGTTCTTGAACGTGAAATTCGGGAAAGCCCGCATCACTTCCTCTGTAGATTTTTGTAGGCGATGCTTCTGGAGTTGCGAAATCTGTGGTTTCGGCTGCGCTCATGCTTTCCCCGCCGTCTGATGATTGGGTGACAGGCGTGTATTGCCTCTCAAGGGTCTGTCTTGCGAGAGGCATGTCTTTTTTGTATGACATATCCTTGCCAAGGTGGAGTGGCATGTGTCTCTGGGGGTAATGGGGGGGACTACCGTGGATATCGGCGCGTAGTTGGGGAGCATAATCCTCCTGCTTGTCATGCAGGTTGATGTAGTAGTCAGGACTGTAGCCGAGCCTGCCTTTGGCCTCATCATACTGCCACATTTCCGAGGCCTCCCCCCGTTCTTTTTCACGGCCTAGTGGTGATTTAATAGCAGTCTTCATCTCGATTGTGATGTCACGATCCGTGCTCTCGCTGTCGTCATTGGGGTGTGTGTCAATGGTGAGTCTGAGCTCGTCGTCCTGTGCGGAGGCCAGCGCGCTTTCGTCGTCGGGTACGCTGGTGGCCGGGCTGCTGCTCGCCGTGTTGTACTCGGACACGGGTGAGTCTGTGCGCTCCTCCTCCTCGTCGCCCAGAAGGTCGATGTCAAAGATCATGCTCTCGGTGCGCATGCACTCTGTCTCCACCACGCTGCGGCAGTTCTCCAGGTTCATCGTGTCGAGCAGTTTGAGCACGTGCTGCTGTTGCAGCTTGTAAGTCTCGCGGAGTCTCTCCAGCTGGGTGCTGCCGTAGTCGCGGATGCGCACGATCTGATTGTTGGCCCGCTCTCGGATCTGGACGATCTGGTTGCTGGAGTAGTCGCGTAGTGCAGTCAGTTTGGTGTTGTAGTTGTCGCGGACCCTCTCCACCTGGTTCGAGCAGCCTCGCTTGACACGTGTCACCTGAGGGAAAGATACAAGATTTTACATTCTAAGTTTTTGATGCTCTCTTCGCAGTCTTAGGACTAAGGGGCCCTTTGCGGGATGATAGGCTACCGCTTCATTGGAGCTTTACCTCAATGATCATGCATAGTTATACAACTAGTTTCTGGGTAAGGAAAACTTGTACAGCTTTGTAAGGTGAGGAGAAAGAGAACGACAGAAGAGGGAGAGGGGATACTGTATTTGCGTTGATGCTTTAAAGACTTTGGCTCTGTTTGTTAAGACCCTCATTTTATTTAGGTACGTTGGCAAAGGTCAGATGGTGTTTTCTGATCTGCTCATACCGGCGGTGTTTGTGATGAAGTGGTAAGGTGCCTTGCTATCGCATGCAAAAGACGTGTGTTCAATTCCTGAGTGGGGAGAATTTTTATCTAGTGTCTCCCGACAATTTTCTGGGACATTATATCACTCTCAGTCCAGTCCAGGTGGGCTCTGACAGGGTTGAAGCGATGCAACTCTTAAATGATCTAAATTGTATCCATTGGGAGGGGGGGGGGGGGGGCTTAAAAGATCTACAATTTTACTTTTTTTTCCTGATCTGCCCATTTCAATGTTCTATTCTTTCCCTGAGTACGTAAGTGATGTTATTCCAGTGGTGGGTGATTTTTCACACCTCTTCAAACTATACCAAATCTCTTCCATAGTTCATTGTCTCTTTTTTTAAAGTGGTGCTTGAATGAAAGCCCATATTATTAGACTGAAATAAATGATGTCTTTTTAAATCATAATCTGGTGTGAAAAGTCATGATAGTTGACAGCGCTTGTCAAACTTGGCACAGCCTACAGTGCCAGTTCCAGTTGTTTTAATTTGTTGCCAAGCATGGATAGTTGACTCACCTGGAAAGTGTAGTTCTTGTGCAGCTTGTCTCGCTGGATGTGGTACTGGTTTCGGACCCTGCTGAGTTGGTGGCCGTAGTTCTCGTGGATTCGTGTCATTTGAGTTGACTTGTAAGCGTTGAGGTTCTCCAAAAGCTGGCGGATGGTCTCTCGGCGACGTTTGTTCACCAGGCGGCGGGCTATCCACGTGATGATCACGTAAACAACATTGAGGGTGAAGAAAGCGAGAGCACACAACAGGCCAATGATGAACGCGAAGATTTTTATTTCTGTGGATATACCGTAGCTGAGGTAGATCTCAATGGTGGCCGTTTTGTTGTAGCGTGCATTGCTGACGCGGCATGTGTATGCGCCGGCGTCTGAACGCAGGGTGTAGTCCACGTACAGGGATCCGTCTGACAGGAGCAGCACACGGTCAGGTAAGGAAAAGAGCTCTGAGTGGTAGGAGGAGCTGTGGTGCCAGTAGTGGCCGTCGTGGTAAGGCGCTTTTGGTTCGATGTCCTCTGGGGTCATCAGGTGATGACTAGCCGCCGGGTGGTAAGAATGATAGAGCAGTTTCTCGCCATGCGGCGTGGACCACTCCAGCACACTGGGTTCGTCCGCTACATAGTGGCACTGCAGGAGGAGCTGGGAGCCCAGCCGCACTGAGGCGGAGGCCGATGTGTTGTGGATGAGCACCTCGTTGCATAGGCTGGTGGTGGAAAAAATGGGCAGTAGAATGCCGTCCTCTTGGATGCAGGTAGTGGACTGAGTGTCGCGGAATGCGGAGGCGTTTATGCTTAAGAAAGTGGTATCGGATGTGAGTGTGCTGAGCCAGGCGTTGAGGCAGGAGCAATTGAAGGGGTTTTCAGCTAGATAGACATGGCTGAGTCTGGGCAAACCGTGGAATGTGATTTCGGAAAGGTGGCTCAGGCCGCTGTGAGAAAGGTCAAGTACTTGCAGCTCAACCAAGGGCGTGAATAGGTTAGGCGGGAGGAAGCTGAGACTTGGGGTGTGGCTGAGGTTTAGGTGGGTCAGCTGGGTCAGATAAGAAAATACGGAGGGCACTGGGGTAAGTGGCGGGGACAATAACGACTCCTCTGGGTCCCATTCAGATAATGCTCGTAGTGGATTATGGTCCAGAGACAGTTGTCTTAGCTGCTGCAGTCCACGGAAGGAGTCTGGCCCGAGTCTTTGGATGGAGTTGTTGGACAGGCTAAGTGTGACCAGCGATGGGAGACCTGGGAACTCGAATGCAGGCACAGTCCTCAGCTGATTGTCGGAGATGTCGATTAACAGTAAATGGCTTAGTGAAGGCAGGTTCGCGTCTGCAAAGTAATTGTGACTAACATATAAATACTTTAAGGATGAAAGCTCTTGTAGTATGGCGTGTAAGAAATCCCCTTCAAGTAGATTGTAGCTGAGATCTAGAGTGTGTAAGTTGACTAGAGCTCGCAGGGTTTCGTTGTGTAAGTTTCGTATTGCGTTGTGGCTCAGGTTGAGCTTGGTCAGAGAGCCGAGATGTTGGAAGGCGTCGGGGTGTATGCGAGCCAGGTAGTTGTGGGACAGGTCGAGGCTCCGCAGCTGTGTGTAGACTGACATATCGTCCGGTCCCAGCTCCTGGATGCTGTTGTGACTGAGGTCCACGGAGAGAACGGGGAGTTCTGCTTCTCCTCCACTTAGCCGGCTGTTGTTGTTGGGGTGCTCCAGGGGCCACGTGGCTGAGGTCAAAGAGTTGTGGCTCACGTCGAAAAACTGCATTGTTGCTGGCACCCTCTTGTTGGACGAGTCGCTTGGTTCCAGTGTGGGTGTCGAACTGTTGGCCATGGCGTTGAAGGAAGCTGATGTGTTGCCTAGTGGTAGTCCGGCTTTCCATGAAACGATGCCTAAAGGGAGCTGGTGAAACCCGGCACCGGAGCAATTGACTGCTGCCATGGTATTAGTTAGCTCTGTGAGAGAGCCTGCAGTCTGGGGCCACTGCGGACAGACGCATAGAGTCGGGCAAACAGGAACCGACTCTGCCCCGCTCACCTTGCTGAGAAAACTCATCACGATCACGAAAAGCAAGGCTTGCAGCGTCTTTAATCCACGCGATGTGCCATCTCTTTTAAATCTGGACTTTTCTTGCAACGCTTCAAGTTTGTTTTGAGAGTTGGGGACGTTTTGGCGGCGTTGTGAAAAGAACCCGGTGGTTGTAGTTGTTGCTCCGATGCATGACTGTGCTGTGCGGTCTCGCTGGGTGTCTGTTGGTGTCCCCCTGCGCTGTGCGCGCTCCATGTCTCTCTCACGACGGAGGTGAGGATGCTCGTCTCTTTCTGACCTAGTGATGGATGCGCTCACTGGGTTTGTAAAATAAGAAGTATGTGGATGGTCGCAAATTTCTGAAGCCTAAACCTTTTTAAGTCATTCAAAATCTTTTTCCCCAACGCTGGTTGCAAGTAATAATACGTCCTTGGACTTTTCGAGTATTGTCAGTATCACCGGTAAACTATGAAAGTTGCCCTAGATGTCTGCTGTGATCAGCAGTAGATCTATGTTGTTTCCTCCCCTTTAAAAAAAAAGTAAAGCTCCGCTGTTTTGGTAATACACGAACCCCAGTCCCTCAGCGATATGTTACAACTCAGAGTCACATTTCCGTGGCGATATATATTATGACACAGCGTCACATTTCCGATTATGCCAATTCAGCGTGGAATCAGAGGTGTTTTTACAAGTGAGCGTTTTTTTGTTGTTGTTGTTGTTTTTTTCTATACGGCTGGGTAGAAACCTAAACAATGTATTGTATGGCCGTCTAAGGGAAAAAGCCACTCGTCACCTCGTACTGGCTAGTGTCTCTGACTCTGACTCCGTGGGTGTTGCTGCCCGCTGGCCACTCATATATCGCGCCACTCGGGGGTAGGGGTTTTCTGTAGGGGGCGTTATCCCACGGCTGTCGACATCCCCCAGAGTATCTAGTGGTTTCACTCCGTTGTTGACGTATAATGACTGTGTCGCTGATGTCCTGTGTGGAAGAGAAAGTAATACGGATTCGTTATACCTGTACCTCACGTACACGCAGAGACACACAAGTAGGCTTCATGTACACTTGACACATGCTCACGCACTCACACAAACGCACACATACACTCATTTTCTCTCATACACATAAACACACACACGCAAACGCACACATACACACATTTTCTCTCTTGCACACACATAAACACACACACACACACACACACACACACACACACACACACACACACACACACACACACACACACACACTCAAACGTGCATGATACACACACACACTTATACGCACATACATCTGTGTGAAGGTGTCAATTTCAGTGTTCATTGTTATACCGAGGAATAAACATTGCGTAAAATTACAATGGA